GGGGGTGATGATCCGTGGTGGCGGGGCTAGAGCGCGGTTGTGGGGCGGATGGCAGCGGATTGTCGATGAGGCGACATGGCGGCCGCGTAGGGCCTCTCTGCCACCGGGTCGTGGAGCTCTGGGTTCCGGTGGGCATCGTTCCTTCTCTTAGAAGGCCTTTTGCGAGTGTAAGGCCTACGCTATCGATAGCGAGGCCTAGCAGGGAGGCACTGGCTGCGCTAGAGGTGGGCCTGTGCTGATACCGGGCCGTGTTTAAGGGAGGAGTGCTGGGAGTCGTCGCCAAGGCTCTGGGCTTTGCAGTGGCCCCCAAGAAGTGATTGCCATTGGCAAATGTCGTTTCCCTTAGGTTGCTTATGCAATTTTTTATACAACGTGTACTGTGAAGGGTTTGCAGAAGAAGATGGGATAGGTTTCTGCTGCCCTCACCTTGACTTCCTTAATTGCAGTCTATTTGAAAGCGATCACGCTCTGGCTATGATAAAGCTAGTTTCCTGTGTAACTGAAGGAGTAATATAGCCCAGTGTGGTCAAGGACAGATGTGCTTGGCTCTTTGAGCATGGTATTGACAAGCTGTGGCTAGTAAGCATTCATGTCAGCAGATGGGGAATTTTAGCTTTGAAATGCTAAGATGAAACCAGTGGATAAATTTTAATTTTCTGTTACAATGTCTGATGAGAACTTTCAACCAAGTCTAATTTTTTTTTTCCTTCTGTTAGCTGAACATCTCTTTCCCAGCCACTGGCTGCCAGAAACTCATTGAAGTGGATGATGAGCGCAAGCTGAGAACATTCTATGAGAAACGGATGGCCACAGAGGTTGCAGCTGATTCTCTTGGTGAGGAGTGGAAGGTAAGAAGTGTAGAAGGATGTGTCAGAACTGTATTCAAGGAACTTAAATTAAAATTTTTTTCCAATATGCAATTGTTCACACTAGAATGCCTTTATGGTATACATTTGGCAGGTATTTTGAAAGTTTTTCTTGTTCTATATATGGAATTTGGTGATTAGGGTGGCCTGTTCTGCTGCTTTAAGTTGGTTTTTTTGTAAGCCTTGTGTTTAAAGTTTCTTGTTGCTCTTTACGGTAATTTTTTGTTCTTTGAGTGCCGTCTTGGTATTCAGGACAAATCAAATCTGTACTAAAAAACTGCTAATGTTTTCTTTACCGAAGAAGTTCAAAATTGCCTTCATTGTGTTTAAACTGCCACTCGTGCATGGGAAAAAGCACGTTGGGCCTGTTGGGTGGTCTTGGAATAGTTGAGTGCTAGTATAGACAGTCTAGCTGAATTTGGGTAAGTGGATTTTTTTCTGTTGCCACCTACATACACAAGGAAGGCAATAAAAACTTCACTTCCTTTTTAAACACATATTCCTACTCCAGATGCTCTTTGTGTTGTATGCAGATTTCCAGTTTGTGATCATAGCAAGCTTTGGTTGGTTAGGTTTAGGATTAAAGGAAAGTTAGACAATACTGGACAAAATTAAGTCTGGTGTAGCTTAAATAAAACTTTAAATGGATTGGAATTTAATTTTTGAATATATCTTTGGAAATAAGTAGAATAAATGTAGATTCAGGTATGCAGAGGTATTTTTCCTATCTGCTAAGTAAAATTCCTGAACCGTTGGAGTGATGTTGATCAAAGAAGTTGCTTGCATCGGTAGTAAAGTGACTTTTTCTGAATTATGGGCACAGTGCCGTTGAACAATGTGCTGTGAAATCCACCACTTCTCCTTGAAGTAATAGAGACATGTGAGCAAATACGAAGTTTATTTCTGTGTTTTCATAGGGCTATGTTGTCCGGATCAGTGGTGGCAATGACAAACAAGGCTTCCCCATGAAGCAAGGTGTCTTGACTCATGGACGTGTTCGCCTTCTGCTCAGCAAGGGCCACTCCTGCTATCGCCCCAGAAGAACTGGAGAAAGAAAACGTAAATCCGTTCGTGGTTGCATTGTTGATGCCAACTTGAGCGTTCTGAACTTGGTCATAGTGAAAAAGGGTAAGAGTCTGGATGAAGCAAGAAATAGGTAAAAGTAGGCACCTGGAAGGAGCCTACTTGCTAGTGGCTGAGAAATTCAGTAGAATGCAAATCAGTCCGAACGTTAGAGTGTGAATATGTCTTGAAATTCCCTCTGAGCATTACATTCTTGTAATTTTAAAACTGGTCACTGAAAGAAACACTGTTATTGTTGCCAGCAATCTGATCATATAAATCAGTAAAGTCCAGCTAGGTGTGGTGCTATTGGCAGGTGAAGCCTAATAATTTTCTTTTATCTTGAATTTTTATGTATTTTAAACTTATAATTGAAATTCACTAATTAATGAAGCAGGTGTTCAGTAGATGCAGGATTAATTGACATGTTTAAACACTCTCTAAGGTGAAAAGGATATTCCTGGGCTGACAGACACAACTGTGCCCCGCCGTCTTGGTCCCAAGAGGGCTAGCAGAATCCGCAAGCTGTTCAACCTGTCTAAGGAGGATGATGTTCGCCAGTATGTTGTGAGGAAGCCTCTGAACAAAGAGGGTAAGAAGTCAAATGTTAAAAGTCTTTGGTTTCTTGTAATTATCAGCAAAGAGGTGTCCAGCCTACTGCAGGAAATGAAACACACTATAGTAAGTAGATCCAGAAGTTGACTGACGTGGTAATTAAGCTTTGTCAGCTGTAACTTGGGGTTAAGAAGTGGAGCTTCTTGGTTGCCCCATTTCTTTTACACCGTCTTCCCTTTCCGTCTATTTTGGCACTGTTTTTAAATGTTTGATAGGATCTGGAGTAATACTAGTGGTTCTAAGAGTAATTAAAAAATAATCATTAATAAAAGAAGGTAAACATGAAATGGAATGTTTTTGAAACATTTTTATGAGGCGGAGGAAAATACCACTATATAGAGAAGATACTAAGACTTTTTTCCTACTGCTTATTGCAGTCTCTGAAATGATCCCTTATTGAGAGGACACTGTGTTGCTTACCACCTGTCTTGCAGTGTAAGATTTTAATTTTTGGGTTCTTTTGCCTTTGATCAGGGAACAGAAAGGGTGAGGATTTTTAGCAGAAAGAACATAGTAAACCTGTGAAAGCTTGTTGGGTAAAAGATGGCCATTTTCTGCCTTATAGGAGCTATTCTGTCCATTAAAGAATGTGATCTTAAGACAGGCCCGCTGAGGAGCTAGGTTTTTAGAGATGCATTACTTATACTTCATTGCTGATAACAAATTGTGAGCATTGAGACTATACTTTTTTAATGCTACATCTGACAGTAATTGATTGTTTTTCCTGCAAAATCTGTCAAGAGGTTGAATGCTGTATAAGTTGCTATAATATGTGGTTTTTTAGGGAAGAAACCCAGAACCAAGGCTCCTAAGATCCAGCGACTAGTGACTCCTCGAGTTCTGCAACATAAGCGCAGACGTATTGCTCTGAAGAAGCAGCGCACTCAAAAGAATAAGGAGGAAGCGGCAGAGTACGCGAAGCTCTTGGCCAAGAGAATGAAGGTGCGTTTGCCCTTATAACTGAGCTATATGGAATACATCATACCCCAGAATCAAGGAATTCTAGAGCTGCTCTGTACCTAGTGCATCTTTCAGTTCTTAGGAGTTCGAGTTTTACTCAGATGCCCAAGCATTTGAGTATGTGGAGAGACAGGATCCAGCAGTTGACCTGGATGGAAGATAACTTGGCAGGAAGCTATTTGTTTGGATTAGTTTGTTCTTGTTCCTAAAACAGTGGTGACTGCTGAAGCAGTACTGTTGGAATATTTGGCACAGTCCTTGAGTGTTTCATGGCTTCCATACTGAAACTGTGAGTAGATAGACCTCTAGTATGTTGTGAACTCTGCATTAGTATTTTTATGACACTACTTCGTATTGTTTAAAGACATGGGTCTGTACACCTTTGGATACTTGTAGAATTCTTCTGATCTGTGGAGAAGAGAAACTTTTGCATTCTTTCTGGTAGTTTCCTTCAAGTTGCGTTTTTCTGAGTTTATTCCTTCTTGGGTGTTTTGAAGCGCTTGATTTGTACCATCTCAGTATTCACTTCATGCTGGTTTGCTTTTCAGGAAGCCAAGGAGAAACGCCAGGAGCAGATTGCGAAGAGGCGCCGGCTTTCTTCATTGAGAGCTTCTACATCTAAGTCTGAGTCGAGTCAGAAGTAAAGATGTGTATGTGATACTAAAAATAAACCCTTTTTGTGGTTAATTTTCAGTATGAGACTTCCAGTGCGTATTGTTACTGGCCATGTCTTAAAATAAATAGTAGTCTAGACTAACTGCATCATGCAGACCGAACTTTGGTCTTGCTTCAGTTCTTTTTTGAGAACTTGTAATTCATGTCTTTAGTGAGAAGTTCCAATTTATAATAACCTTGTGCATGCATGTTGATTTTTTTCTACAAGCATGATTTACCTGTGATGGTTCAG